GACCTATGATTGATATCAATTCTTACAGATTACAGCCGTATAAATGATTGCATTCAGCAGAGAAAGCTAATCTTTACTGAAAAAAATCACGTCATAGAGTTACGTAACGAAATTATGTAATTGAAACAAATAAATTTCGGATAATTGTTTCATATCAGTATGTGATTTTTTAAAATTACATAATTTGAAAAGTCAAATGATAAATGTGCTTTTTCTTCTATTTCTATTATTCAATTCTTTAAAATTCGATAATATTCGATTATAAAATCACAGGATAGAAATTATTTCTAATATTATGTGATTTTTAAAAATAAATGATTTGGAACAATCTGTTACGTAATTTACTTGTCTTAATTACACGATTTCGTTATATAACTTTTGTAATATGATTTTTTTCAATAGAGATCAATTAGTGCTTAGTAATTCTTTAATATCGATTGGTTCCTACAGCTTAGCAAAGAACTAAAGGCAAGAACCAATCATATTAAAGAATCACTAAATAAATGTTAACTGATTAATTTTTTCTGCTGAACGCAGCCACTGATTTGTTGTATATATATTACGTGGCGTAGAGCATTGCCACCACTTGCCAGTCTATCCCCTCCACAGCCGTAGCGTCTATAAAATGGCATCCCCCCAGCCATCCCTGATTTAGTAATAAATAGAAGCGCGCGAGCGCCAAAGCACAGCAAGGTTTACCACGTCACGTCACGTCCTCGGTTTACGTTTACAGTGAGCGATCTAGAGTTGCGATAGAACGATCAGTCCACGTCGGAACTTGGGATTGATGTTAAAAATCGGCGTGTGTACACGCCGACTACGAATATGTGAGCGGAACGCGCTTCATTAATTAGTGCGTCGGTGAGACCTGGTGAAATCAGTAGAGAAAGACGCTCCGCATCGTTTTCCCGTTCTTGATTTTTCAACCTGCGCCTCGACGAAAAGAAGGTGCCCGGGGAAAGTCGAAGATGTCATTCGAAGGCAAATACAACGCCAAAAGCCCAGGTAAGTCGAAGTCAATGCGCAAATTGCACCGGTCGAAACGTTTGTTTTGACTCGCATTAGCCGCAACTCTGACATATTTCCATGATGCTATTGTACTCGTGAATGTCAGCATGATTGCCTACTACCCAATTTTCGATATCCGCAGAGTTTTCGTATTAATTCTACATGATGGTCATATTTTAAGTATAATTATCCTATGATGACGTAAAAATATCTTATGTATATGTATATTAATATATATCTGCTTATCTGCTATCAAATAATATTGGTACTAATAACAAATGCATTGTCGAATAATACAATTGATATCTTAGTAAGGTTTCTAAGTATTACAAAGTTAAAATCATTTTCTTATTAAAGATGTGTACGTAAAGATATGTCATATGTATCTTAGCGGTGAAGAGATTAATGAGAGAGGCACAGGAGTTGCACGAAGCCACCGAAGAATATTATGCATCTCCTCTTGAGGACAATCTGTTCGAATGGCATTTCACAGTGCAAGGACCACCATCGACAGACTTCGAAGGTGGTGTTTATCATGGGAGAATCTTGCTACCACCAGAGTATCCTATGAAGCCACCAAATATCATCCTGTTGACAGTAAGTGGACAACAGCAACGAGTAACATATAAATCATTATATCATGATGTCATGTTGTCATATATAATTTTTTTATTTAGCCAAATGGACGGTTCGAAACAAACAAGAAGATATGCCTGAGTATCTCTGGTCACCATCCTGAAACATGGCAGCCATCATGGAGTATTAGAACCGCATTGCTGGCCCTGATAGCTTTCATGCCTACACCTGGAAGTGGCACAATTGGAGCATTAGATTATAGCACTGAGGAACGACAGAAACTTGCTAAAAAGTATGGACATATTGTAATTAAACACAAAACGCATTGCAAAAATATGATTTAGTCTCATAATCAATCCTTGCATTCCAGATCGTTGAACTGGCAGTGTGATACTTGTGGTAAAATTGTAAATTTGTTGTCGAAAAATTCAATTAAGAAACCTATCACCGAGGAGGAGCAAACCATGCTTAAAACAATTGCTCTCAAAGTAAGCAGTTAGACATGTTTTTAAATATATTTATTATAAACATAATATAGAGAAAGAATTTATTACTTATTTGCTACAATACAACTCAAAAAAACATTTTCTAAAAAAAATGAATTAAAATGTTTTGAATCATTAAAATTTTAATAATTAAGTAATATTAATTTTGAAATGCAATTTTGATGTAATAATTGATTGTAGACAAATAAAAGTACATTCTTTTGTTTTTATATTTGTTCTTTTTCTATAAATTATATACAATACAATGACAATTTTTTAGGAATAATGTTATTGTAGCGATAAGTGATACATATAACAAATTGTGCGTGCGTGCGTGCGTGCGTGCGTGCGTGCGTGCGTGCGTGCGTGCGTGCGCGTGCGCGTTTGTGTGTGTGTGTGTGTGTGTGTGTGTGTGTGTGTGTGTGTGTGTGTGTGTGTGTGTATACACAGGATGAATTAGAGTAATTGGCCAGTTTTTTACTCGACTTCATACCTAAAAATATCGATTATACTAATTATTGAGCTATACAGATCAGATATATGGATACATCGTACGAATTACTGGGCGCATTGAAAAAAAGCATTTTTAATATCTTGCAATATAATAATATAATAATAATTTTCACAAAACTCAAACATGTCTGTTTTCACACTCAAACTCAAATCGCAGCAGTTCGCATGATGCATCCAGTCTGTATCATTAAGTCTATAATGAGATGTAGTCGATAATTTTCTCATAGAGTAAAAAATTAGTTTAATCTGTATATATGTATATGTATGATTATATGTTATGAAAATACCACAAGAACTTAATAAATGTATTTGTAAAAAAAAATTGTAGGCTGATGACTCGCCAACGTCAGATGTGTTATTTACGGATAAAACAACAAATGTAACTGAAAGCGAAATACTACACCGTACTAACGTGGAAACAATGACGGAAGAAAATGCGGATTATCAACAACCTGAGATTATCCTAAATCGCATAGAGACAATGTCGTCTTCAAACGATTTATTTTGGAGTATTCTTATCGCTTCATTAGTATCTGCAATAATTTTATTAATTTTACGACGATTATTTCTTGTTTAACTTATTTGTTTTTGCGAACGTACAGGAATATGTTAAGAAAATAGTAAATTTTATACACGTTTTATGGACATCATTTTTAATTTTACAGAAAAGTCATTTATACTGTCAAGAATATTATGAACTGTAAAGCTAATTTTTTCTTGAAAACGTGTATAATACATGATGAAAGTACATGCATTAGTAAATATTAGTATCCATATTGTTCTTACAAAGCATTTGTCTTATACATCCCAAATATTTTTATTTTATTGCTAAAATGAAAAGTAAATAAATTTTCAATTCGATTATTAATTTATACTAGTCGCTTTTCATTAACAGCATAGTATTGAAAGATAAATCATTATTTATCGAACGTTTATATATTTTATTTTAGTATATTAAATGACTGGTTAAGTTAAATTTATACATTTTAGTATCTATTAATTATCTATTAGTTATAATGAGTAATAAATATTTTTATTAATTTTATTTTGATAGTTATTTTCAAATATTTTTTATGTTTCCTCACACATATATATATATATATATATATA